TTTTTTTCCCCACTGTATATGTATATGTGTGTTAACTGAAATAAAATTAAACAAAAAATCATATTTTATTTCAACTAGTTGCCAAGTACTACTATAACTGAAATAAAATTAAAGCAATATAGAAATAATAAAACAATTATAAAAATGAAAACAAAAAAAACAATATAACTAAAAACTAAAATGAAAATGTAAAATTTTTAAATAAAAACTAATCCAAAATATTAAATATTACATTAATGATACTAAAATAACACTGATGTACAGTATATATGTATCTGTGTATACTGTCTCAGTCTTTCTGACACTTTCTTTAAACATTGGCAATGAAAAAAACAATGAGTGCCTGATCATATTTAAAAGCAGACACTTTGTAAAATAATGAAAATAATATTGGACACTCTCTTCTTCACACAGCTGGACTATTGTCAGATTATATGTGCCAATGCTACAAAAAAGGATTTGAGGAAACTCCAGTTGGTACAAAATAAGGCACTGAGGTTAATACCCCAGTGTCCGTATGGTAAGAATATTAATAGTATGCACTTTGATCTTAAATGGCTAAGAGTGGAAGATAGGATGATTGCTGCAATATTGTTATCAACATGGAAGATTTTACATTTACATTTACATTTTAAAACTCCATTGGATCAGTATAATCAATTACAATCTAATGTTCAGCCACATGAATATGCTACTAGACGAGCAAAGGAGGGTAGATTTCTACTCCCTAATGCTAAAACTAATTTTCTTAAACGTACAGTAACATTTAGGACAATGAAATCATGGAATCTTTCTTTAATTAGGATAACACGAAAAATTGATTTTAAAAGGCAGGTAAAGGCACACCTTGGAATTCTGTACTTATAGGAGTTTGAGGTATAGGAATTAGTTGAATAAGCAATACGTTTTTTATATAGTAGGTGTTATAGATATTAAAAGTGTGGAAGAAATGTTTATAGAGATGCTTTGGAATGTGGAGAATGTATTTCACTTTTTCTTTTTTTAATGTATGCAATAATGTATGGATGTTAAGTGTTGTGTGGACCCCAGGAAGACTAACAATGCCTTAGGGCATAGCTAATGGGGATCCAAATAAATAAACAAACAAAATAAACAAATAAAAAAAGGCCATGTGAAAAATCATTTTGAGCAGAAAATTGGAATTAGGAATTTGTGGTGTTAACGTAGCCTTCAGGCCAACTTCTAGAGCTGAAAAAAAAGAAAAAGATGAAGAAGCACTTTTGCTGTTTCTTGTCCTGTCATCGTTCCTTTACCATTTAATTGAAGAAAGGATATAAAATGACGGCATTAGAAGGAGCAAGAAAAATCCAAGGAGGACAATAGAAACCAGGTAGTAGTGAGGGTGAGATAAGACAGCAGGTCCTACTAAAACCATGTACAGCGTGTGTGTGTTGGAGAGAGAGAGAGGTGTGTGGCCTGGTGTTCGTGTGTGTGTGTGTCTGTGATTAAAACAGGATTGTGTCTGGTTTCTGCAAGTCCCCAGGGAGCGGCTTGTCTCACGGCAGGCTGTCACTGAACACATTCTAAAGGCAAAGACTTGTTTAATCCCCGTGGCCCTGGTGCACCTCCCACTGTCTAAAGCTCTTTTCTCTGTTGCCACTCGCCTTCCTTCCATCGCTTTTGTTTTGAACTGCACAGCTCTCATTCTGTAGCAGCAGGTTACCGATCTGCAGCTTTTTTTTAATGCCTTGGACTTATAATAGCCCTATTTACAAGAGATACACAGTACACACAAAGGGGGTCTGCTGCCAGAACATAATTATTTATCAGTCGATTGTATGAGCGAGACATTAGGCACTTTTACATGTATTTGAAACAAAGGGCTACTGCGAGCAGACTGGGAGCTCTTTTATCTCATTTTATCTTCAAATTTTGAACAAATGAAAGAAATATCTGTGAACAAACTTATTAACCAACTTTTATCAAACACACTGAAATTTCCAAGTACTATCATATATATATTTTTTTGCATATTTATTATGGTTTACTATGATGCATGTTATCATAGCATCACCATGTCTTTTGTACATTTACCATGGTAATGCAATGTTTTTCCACATGGTATCATAGTAACATCATGTTTTTTTTTGCATTTACCATAGTAATACTATGTATTTTGTACATTTAAAATTGTAATGTCATGTGTGTGGATATGGTATTGTAGTAATACCATGTTTTTGTGCATTTACTATGATAATACCAGGTTTCTGCATAGGATTTTACAGTAATGCCATGCTTTTGCACATTCACCATGGTAATACTGTATTTTTGTACATTTTCTATGAGAATATCATATTTTTGGAAATGGAATCATGGTAATGCCATGTACATAGACAACACTAGCACAATGAACAGTAATCTCTAATAGATATGTTAGATAATAAGTTAATAATAACAACAAAATCCTATATGAAAAAATAAACTTTCAAAAAGTAAACATGGAAACAAACATGACAATTGTTGTCATACATTATTCTATTGAGCTATAAAATTAATAGTGTTGAAAGAATTTGAGTATATATTAATATCTTTGAGGAGTTCAATTCTTAAATCACAACCAAGATGGTTAGAAGATGTACCATGCTATCATCATAACCATTATTAGCATAGCACCACCATTAATCTTAGCATCTCCAGGGCTAAGATTCGTGAACATATATATAGTATAGAGTATTTGGCAGTGTCTACATTTCTCATTCTATCATCATGCTCTCTGCTTTAACCTTTTCATTTTAATCCCGAGCCATAATTTCGTGTTACTCATTCCGCCGTGCAGTTAGACCACCATTATTTTTCATCTTTTACTTTCTCTTCAGTAAACATCAATTAACCCCCATTTTCCATGCCGCTAGAGTCTGGCTAGCAGGACTGTCCATTTAAAGATAAATTGAAAAGCAGATGCATTTAACTTAATTAGGTTTCTAAGAAGACACATACTGCTTTTGATTGCACTGTAATTCAATGAGAAATAGAAATTAAATGTTTGGGGAAACGTGAATGCACTTGCCAATTTCCAGAAGTAATATAAAAAAAAAAATCAACACAGGGTCTAAGTGAACAGCACGGCTAAACTGTGGCTTTTAGGAACACGAACAGGAGCAGCCGCTGACGTGTGTGGAAGGTTTTTAGGATTTAAAACAGTGGCTGACTTTCACTATTACTGCTATCACACTCTTTTACGTCTTCAAACAACATCCGTTCGGATTTTATCTGTAATTAACAAAGCCAAGAAGTAGATAAGCCCGGTTAGAATATATTTTGGATGTGCAGTAAATATTTTTCTTTCTTTCTTTCTTTCTGTCTGTCAAGAAATACTACAGAGAGAACGTCATTTCACAATGTTCTTGTTACAAATTGTTCATGCACTTACTATAGTAATAGCAGTAAATTATGCATAATACCAAGAAAGTAACCCAAAAATAAGTATGTTGTTAATTAATTTTACTCAGTATTTATTTGTATAATTGCACTGTAACTAGGACACCTAAAAAATAAAGTGTAACAAATATATATATATATATATATTAAATTATTTTATTAGCAAACCAGCTTTGGTGGGTTTAAGATGTTATTTTTATAAATGTGCTGCTATTGTCCAGTATTTAATATATAGTGAATATTTATCATGATTTTGAGTGCCATCATGGATAGATTTTTTATTTATTTAAAATTTTTCTTGCATTCTGGGGTTGTATTGCAATAAGATTTAGGATGCTACCAAAGACTTAGGTGAAAACCAAACACCTTAGAAAGGACCATCATTTTTCTGTCTACATTTCAGAACTCATTGGAAGTGCCCATATATTGAAGTGCCACAAAATGATGTCTAGGTAGGCGACTGACTAGATTTTAGATGGCGATTGATGCAAAACTCAAAAATAGGTGGACTATGATAAACTGAAACAAACTTTACTTAAACATTTTTGGCAGCATCCATGTGCCATAATGCAGTTGGAATGCTGGGAGAATGTAAGAATATGACTGGAGTGGGTAGAGGTGGGTGGGGGGGTTTGTTGACTCTCACCTTTGATGAAGAGGTGTCACATTCCTGACAGATCCATCCATAGCCGGTTTGTTTGGGCGACTTCTTCAGGGGAGGGTCCAGACAGCCGAAGTGGTAACAGAGCCGACACTCATCACACCTATGAGGAAAACAGGCAGCATATTAGCAGTGAGAATACATTAAAATGCAGCTGCAGTGCCGGCGCTCTCTCACACACACGCAATCTGCTTATACCCTGCCAGTATGGCCCTAACCAGGCAGGTATGATAGATGGTGACAGAGCCATTTGCTGTCAGGTAACAGATGCTTAATAGATTCAAAACACATTGGCACACAACCTCTCACACGGCCTTGTACAGCCATCATAAAACACTGCTCGATTGGTCCTGCTGAAATGAGTTTCAGCTCATCCTGCTGATAAATCTCTATAGGATTTTTATTCCATAGTCAAGGTGTCAAGTATGACACTGAGATTCTGTCCTTAGTTATAGGTCTGCTCAACAACCGTCTCCAGCTATCCGATTTTACATAAACTGTAAAAGACCTCTATCTTGCTTCTATTATTACGCTATTCTGCAGCCGTTCGAAGAGCTGTATTGAATATCGCTACTCAACATCCACAGAAGAATTCAGGGCTATTCCAAATTAGTTAAAAAATGTAAAAAAAAAATTAAAATTACATGATACATGAGTACTTTTATTCTGCAAGGACACATTAATTTGATAAAAAGGGACAGTACGTATATAAATAACTTTTATAATGTTATAAAAGTTCTATTTCATATGAAGGAAGTTCTGTTGAACGTTCTATTCATCAAATAATACAGAACAAGTCACTATAAAAATATTAAGCAGCACAACTCTTTTTTAGTATTGATAAGAAATTTCCTATTTAGAAATAAATGTAAAAATATAAATATTTTTTTATTTCACTTTAAGTATTAAATAATACTGTTTTTACTGTATTTTTGATCAAATAAAAGCAGCATTGTTAATTTATAAATATACTATTTCCACAATTTCAAATGTTAAAAATATACAGTATATTAGTATTTTATAAAATAACATGAACTATATATAAACTATATCAACTATGTATACTATTATGAAAGTTTTGTTCACTGTTTGTTCATGTATTTAATTTATGTAGCTAACTAATGTTAACTAATTGAAACTTATTGTAAAAAGTTACCAAAAAAAACTCAAAATGCAGGTCAGGGGGCACAAACAAATCCATATTTTTAATACTTTTTGAATAATTAACTGCAATAAATTAACATGCTGAAATGACAGCTGTCAGAACACATTAACTATATCTACATTATTGTAAGAAACACACAGTGCATTAAGTTCAGCTCTCATTTAACATTCATAAGGTGTATCTTCTGAGGACCCAGGTGCCCTTCACCCTGCAGTCCACGCTCTCCTCTCCTTCCTGTCCATAATTAACAAATTATGTTGTAATCAATATAGAAGATTCAGATTTGGCAATGTAAATCAGATAAAGCCGATAAGAGCCGGGAAGGTCAATAGGCCCGTCCCCCATCCTCGTCTCCATTACGGGATGGGGGACGCGGCGGTCTTATCAGCGAGCCCGCATGATGAGGCGATAGTAAAAGACAGGGACAGGCGCTATATTTTTTTCTGCCAGGTGAACGAGTGGGAACATTGAGACTTTTGTGGAGGCAGGGTTATTCTTGGTGTCACCGAATGTGATGCTGTGTGACGTGGAAGCCCTTTTCAAACTCAGGCCCATCACAGACTTCAAATGCTAATTAAAGGACTGGATGGGGATGCGGCTCAGTGCTAATGAGCAGAGAGCCTCATGTCGAAGACACATGTACAACTTCTGTCAACACCGAATGACTATAACAGCATATAATGGCTAATGCGATCACATTAGTGTAGTTTTCTGGTCATTAGTACCGTGTATCATTGAGAGAGTGCAAAAAGGTCAAACGCACTCTTGATTTCTGATTTATTAGGCTCATTTATTACGGAAATATGTTGGCAGAAACCCCAAAAACTAGCACATATTGATGTTCAACAGGTTTACATGCCATTAAGAGTCTGACTGAAGATCAAAAAGCCAACAATGATGCTTGCTGCTCATATCCACACAGCACATTTCACACTGTTTCCGATCAAGCAACCAAACTTCTCAAGTCCAAAGAGAGCAATTCAAGGTGCCTTTGCAAAAGGGAATGAGCCAACTCTCACCCGTGGTTGCCATAACAACCCCAACAGAGCTGCTATAGGGCAGCCAAAGACAAACACATTCACAAATTCCCACTGGATCAAAACTACTGTAGTCTGGAACCTCCCAAGAGTTAAGCGTAACGTATTGGTTTGTTTCACTTACTACAATTCAAGATAGGGATGCACCAAATATTCGGCAACCGAAATTATTAATAGGCGAAAAGGCCGAATAATATGTACCAAACAATGACTAACGCTATCAAATAGAGGCAGGCACTAATGCAGCAAACATGTCCGCAGTGTGAAAGTATTTAAAACTATCAGAGAAAGACGCAAGAATCATTACAAGCACGAAGCACCGACAGCGAGAAGAGGTGGCTAATGCTGGTGGTTAGGCTACTGTATGATGATTGAAATCGCGAAATTACCTTTAAACGATTAGTAAATAAACTGCAGAATGTTATATTTTCTAATGCACGCACAAATTGCATGTATTCTGACAGCGCTGCACGAGCTCGCGGCACCAGGTTTCAAAGTCCAAAGCACGAGGAAAATCTGCGAAAAAATTCTTACTCGTCAGTTGCTCAGTAGCATTTTTGTGAATTTTTTTAAAGGCATGTGACAATGTGATACGTGCGACAAACATCTTCCCAAATTTGTAATGAGAATAATTTATAAATCTGCATGCTGTTGTCAACAAAAAGAAGCACTGAGATCTTCCTGCGGGTTTCTGCCAAAATAAAACTCCATCGACATTCATAAATGATAGTATTGTCATTTTACTGTCGTTCTATAAAATAAAATAAAAAAGTAAGACCATAATAATGATAATAATAATTACCCCACAACAGCTCTATTAATACATTTATTATAACATTCACACATAGTGTTCAAATTGGGAACTTTAATATATTCTAATGTTTTAAAAGAGTCTTTTCTGCTCAGCAACTTATTAATTTTAAGTTAAATTGTGCTTTGTTGGTATAATGTAGGCGATAGTAAAAGACAGGGACAGGCGCTATATTTTTTTCTGCCAGGTGAACGAGTGGGAACATTGAGACTTTTGTGGAGGCAGGGTTATTCTTGGTGTCACCGAATGTGATGCTGTGTGACGTGGAAGCCCTTTTCAAACTCAGGCCCATCACAGACTTCAAATGCTAATTAAAGGACTGGATGGGGATGCGGCTCAGTGCTAATGAGCAGAGAGCCTCATGTCGAAGACACATGTACAACTTCTGTCAACACCGAATGACTATAACAGCATATAATGGCTAATGCGATCACATTAGTGTAGTTTTCTGGTCATTAGTACCGTGTATCATTGAGAGAGTGCAAAAAGGTCAAACGCACTCTTGATTTCTGATTTATTAGGCTCATTTATTACGGAAATATGTTGGCAGAAACCCCAAAAACTAGCACATATTGATGTTCAACAGGTTTACATGCCATTAAGAGTCTGACTGAAGATCAAAAAGCCAACAATGATGCTTGCTGCTCATATCCACACAGCACATTTCACACTGTTTCCGATCAAGCAACCAAACTTCTCAAGTCCAAAGAGAGCAATTCAAGGTGCCTTTGCAAAAGGGAATGAGCCAACTCTCACCCGTGGTTGCCATAACAACCCCAACAGAGCTGCTATAGGGCAGCCAAAGACAAACACATTCACAAATTCCCACTGGATCAAAACTACTGTAGTCTGGAACCTCCCAAGAGTTAAGCGTAACGTATTGGTTTGTTTCACTTACTACAATTCAAGGTAGGGATGCACCAAATATTCGGCAACCGAAATTATTAATAGGCGAAAAGGCCGAATAATATGTACCAAACAATGACTAACGCTATCAAATAGAGGCAGGCACTAATGCAGCAAACATGTCCGCAGTGTGAAAGTATTTAAAACTATCAGAGAAAGACGCAAGAATCATTACAAGCACGAAGCACCGACAGCGAGAAGAGGTGGCTAATGCTGGTGGTTAGGCTACTGTATGATGATTGAAATCGCGAAATTACCTTTAAACGATTAGTAAATAAACTGCAGAATGTTATATTTTCTAATGCACGCACAAATTGCATGTATTCTGACAGCGCTGCACGAGCTCGCGGCACCAGGTTTCAAAGTCCAAAGCACGAGGAAAATCTGCGAAAAAATTCTTACTCGTCAGTTGCTCAGTAGCATTTTTGTGAATTTTTTTAAAGGCATGTGACAATGTGATACGTGCGACAAACATCTTCCCAAATTTGTAATGAGAATAATTTATAAATCTGCATGCTGTTGTCAACAAAAAGAAGCACTGAGATCTTCCTGCGGGTTTCTGCCAAAATAAAACTCCATCGACATTCATAAATGATAGTATTGTCATTTTACTGTCGTTCTATAAAATAAAATAAAAAAGTAAGACCATAATAATGATAATAATAATTACCCCACAACAGCTCTATTAATACATTTATTATAACATTCACACATAGTGTTCAAATTGGGAACTTTAATATATTCTAATGTTTTAAAAGAGTCTTTTCTGCTCAGCAACTTATTAATTTTAAGTTAAATTGTGCTTTGTTGGTATAATGTCTGCTAGAATGTTAAAAAAAATGTTCAGTGTTAAGTAAATATTTTTAAATTGTTGTTTTGTAATATTTTTTTTTATTTGAAAAGCAGGACAAAACAGTAAAAAGCACATTTTGGCAATTTAGTTAATGCAATGGTGAAAAAAAATGGCAAAATAGGCCTACATGTGGGAAAAATGTAAAAAAACGTGTTCGGTATTCAGTATTCGGCCTTTGGCCCTGTGTTTCATTTTGTTTGGCTTCAGCTTTGGCCAAGAATTTTCATTTCGGTGCATCCCTAATTCAAGGTATTTTTTTGTGTGATAATAAGAGAAGACTCAAACATGGTGGTGAGAGTGTCATGGTCTGGGGCTGCATGAGTGCTGCCGG